CTTGCACACTGCAAGAATATTGCGGCTGATTATACTCAACAAAATAAATCACCCCATCCAGAAGGCTGAAAACTGCCATTTTCCACCCAGAAACCGAACGTTAAATTGTCCAGAAACTCACAGGGCTCCTCAGAGAAGTGTTAGTGCAGCACATCAACCACTGCCTGCCGAATCAACTCTGACGGAGTTTTAGTTTCTGTTGGGACATTTAGCATGTGCCTGCTACAACGGGTAGGTGGACAGGAAGAACAGCCGGAGACCACATACACGCAACAGCAGTTTCTAAAATTGTTTTGACTGTGAAGCAGATGAGATACAAGATGGTTATGGGTAAGAACTGAAATGTGTATTGTACCCACCAGGAAACAGAGAAAATGGTTTATACCATATAAGCTTACCATGTGTGCCGATTGCTAACTGTCTTCCTCCTTCCCCCCTCCCCGCAGTCCTTTGTGTTTTTAATAAAACATTCTAAGTTTTATGAAAGACGACTGTTACAGCTTTTATCAGTTATGATACAATTTAAGGAATATATTTGCTCTTTCTTCTAGTATTCTCAGGATACATTGTCTAAGTCATTATTCTGTTACTTCTCTTTTACGCCTGGTAGACAAAGGCAGCTATCTTGACATTATTTTCTCTAAGAGCAAAGAGCATTTCACACATCTTGCAGCTGTGCTCCAAATAAAAACGCGTAATTTTGAAATATGCGTTCATTTTTATTCTTACAGAAATTGTCACTCTTCTATGACTTGTCTTCCAACTTCAGAGAATTTAATTAATCAAGCTGTAGTGAAAGAGCTTTTCTCTCTGGGAGGCCATTCTGGTGTCCAACATATTCCACAATTGTGTGTTCCTAGATACTCTAATTACATGTGCTTGTTTATAACCCTTCACAGACAATGCGATTCCAGACACTACTCTAAATATTCTTCATTATCCTTCTTGCTTCTAAGTATTTTCAAGTTATCCTCTCTTTGGCTCTTTGTAGCCACTACTTCCCTAAGCTGGAGTTCAAGTTTGTATACGGTAATGTAAGTGTGGGAGGTATTTGGTGACCTGCTATGTATGGAGACCAAATACGGAGCCAGACATTAACTTGCCATTTATATATGCTATAAAAAACTATAATTTACAAATGGTAGATTCTGAAGCATAGAAACCTAATTTTCATCAAACTAGCACTTTCCATTTATAGGTAACTTAGCTGTATACCTGATACATAAGAACAGAGGCCATATACCCTCTAAGCAATACAGGAAAAATCAGTCTATGCAAAACTCCTCTCACTTTTATTTCATTTTACTTGCAAGGCAAGGACATCACTGAAATCAGTTCTGGGACTCCAAGACAACTTCACCTGCATCCTTATCGTAGCAGCACCTTTTGGATCTAGCGTCAACGTGAGAGGTATCTGTTCTCACCACACTTTTTCCCAGCGGTCAAGCTGTGATCAACATTGTTCAGCCTTTTGTCTCTTGCTTGTATTAGAAAGGATGATAAAATGTGGGAAAACGCTGGAGGCAGGTATTTCAGATAGCTCTGGAGTAGAGATATGACCTGCATAAATCCTGCTGTAAATAAAAGCCTACTGACAGTGAAAGCCTTACCAAATGCGCAAGCCTTTCGAGAAACAAAGTAATCAATATTTTTTTCCACATATGGCAAACATATTCCAGGGAAGCAATACAAGCAGCAACAGAAAGAACGAACAGAAAGAGTAAGCCAAACAAATAAACAAACAAAAACCCTCTTCAGCAATTCTAGACCATTCTTGCCCAAGTTAACCCAGAGGAAGTAAGAAGACATGGGAGCATTTCCAACAGTGACTGCACGAGCAATTCCCTTAATGGGAGCTTACCATTACTAGCATGCTTTTGCAGTGCAAGGATTTCATTCTGCTATGTACTGCTACAGAAGCAGGGTGCTACCAGTCATTAGTTGTAGCCGGTTTTGGTGATTAAACCCAAAAGTTCTTATTCCATAATAATTTAATTGCATGATGTTTGTTTAAAAAAATGAACAGAAGTGTGAATCAGAAGTGACTGCAGTAGCACTTCTGTGATCTATAGATTCGGTAACTTTCAAGATAGAACTGAAAATGCAGCAATAATTGTAGCATGTTCATCTCCTGAGAAGTGCCTCATTTATCAGTTTGATCTGGTATTGAAAAGAGAAAGCTACTTTGCCCATAACCAAATACCTAAACCAGTTCTCTATTTGCAGCTGGATTTTCACCGCTTTCCTGATGACCTCTGGAAGTACAACCTATTTCAGTATACAACCGGTTTCAGTCACTTCGCTTTACACCTCAGCCAAATGTTTGTAAACAAAACTGTGGCTTTTTAGACCACCCTTGGAGACTGCTACAGCGGCTGAAAAGGAGAGGCCAGCTCCTTTTTTTGAAAACTGAGCAATTACCTGTCCAAAATCAAGCAATAAACTTTCTTGATTAGCGAGAGCTGCAATCCAGCTTGCACCTTTGTTTTTAGGTACAATCATCTTGATATTATGACATTCCATAACGTACTATTTCATTATCATACTAAAACAATAATCACATTAGCAAGGTTCCTGTCTCCTCTCCTCGCATCAAGAGCTACACGCAGATATTCCTTTTAATTGCTTCCAGAGAAACGTCTGGTCCCGCCAATGCAATCGTAACAGACCCTAGTGCATCTCTGGGTACATCTGACCACTACATACAGCTCGAATAGCCCTGTTTTTGGGAAGCCAACAAACCTCTTCAGCCCGAACCATGACTGAAACAGTCGGGATTCACGAACAACTCTAAGAGCCCTTCTTCTGCTTGCAGCGTGACAAAGGGCTTACAAAAATCTGCTAGGATCAGCCACTTCTGACAGTTGTATTGATACACGCGTGGTAAGTATTAGTAAGAATATGGTTCGAGACATCAGGCACTGCCCACAGAAAGCAAATACTTAATGGTTTAGATTGAAGAAAAACCATTAGATCAGGACAGGTAAGGACACCCAGAAAAATTAAGATAAAAGGCAGTCTATTAACAGAGGCCAGCCTAACCACTGTAACATAAACCAGAATCATCTTTGGTAGAAACTTGTTTTTGATGAAGCCAAATGTTTTTCAAGTCTAGCCATCTAAAGTTTTCATTGCTTGTTGACTGTATTGGTTCTGTAAAAGCATCACTTACAGTCCTTCATTTCTTGAGTCTGATACTTTCTCTTTGGGGACTCAAAGACTTAATCTCTGCGTTATTATATTGTGAAAGATATAACATGCTTTCTGCGGCTGACTGCAAGGTAAGATTCTCACTGATAACTGCTGGCTTCAAAGGAATTCTGCGTGGTGGCTTTAGCAAGACCTGGAAGAGCAGTAGTTTAGCTTTTAGACTCGTAAGAACATAAGAAAAACAACACCGGAACAGATCAAATACCCATCTCTGACAGCAGCCAACAGAAAAGAGCGTAAGTACAGAAAAGCACAGATACTCTCCCAACTGTGGTTGCAGCACTCCCTGCAGAGGTGGCACCTCAGGTATAGCACAGCCCTCAACGGATTTTTCAGATTAATTTGTTGAGTCCTTTTCTGAATTCATGCACATTTCACCATGTGCTGTATCCTTGTGCCAAGGAGTCCTGTAGCCTAACTGTGGACTTAATGAAACGCAGCGTTGTTTTGCTTGTGCTGAATCTACCAGGTGTTAACTTATTTTGATACCTGTTAGTTCATGTTCTTCAGTGGATAAAACAGTTGTTCCCTATCTGTTTTCTCCATTTCACTTGCAGTTTTATAAACCTTTACTTTATTCCTCTCTAACCATAACCTGCAAACCATCTCTCTTCTAGGCTGAAGAGTCCTCTCTGTGTATCTAGTCACTGCTCCTGTGTTGTAACTAAGTGAATTGTTCAGTTGCTTGAACACAAGAAAAAACAAAACTCCAGACTGGTTTTTACTGCATCACCAGCTTGTAACTCACCTTGAGATTATTCCAGTTAACGTCAGCCTCAAGGTGAATTAAGTCAGAGTAGAGCCAAATTAAAACCCAAGCTGTTAACTTATTTAAAAGGATAAACAGATTTGAACCAAGGATAAATTAATTTCAACATATCTCCACCAGAATTCTGAGCTAATCTAGTTAGACTGTTTTTTTTTATACGGAGGAAAAGCGAAGCAGGGAGCGTACCTGTCTTCATCATTTCAATATACACCAGGGATTAAGGAGCTATGATTGTCATTTGCAGTTTGACAACCCCAGGAAACTCTGCCTGCGAAGAACCATGTTCAAAGGAAGAATGCAATACCATGATTTCATCTTGCAGTGATAAAATTCAGACCCCGTGCACATCACCGTCGCAGTTCTGTTGCAAGTTGGACATCCGTTTAAAGATGTTTTCACAAGAGCAGAAGCTACGACACATCTACCTCTGTGGGAAATCACAGAAGTTTGCTGGTTTAGAGTCAGTTACAGAAAGTGAGTCAGGCAAGAAATTTAAGTTGTGTTCCAGGAAAACGCAGCATGCGATAGACTAGGCTGACATGTGTAAGAAGGTAAGCCCCGTACCCCTTGGGGTGGTCAGGAGAAGCAGCAAATACTTCACATACGAATTATCAGATCAGGTGGAAAAAGGCGCACATGAAAAGGAGGTTATAGTGAAGATGGTTGCACAGACTACGTTTAAGCATTTATGAGTTAACACTTTGCAACTAAAGTGAAACTCACCAAGCTAAATTAATGCTCTCCTAACAGGTCTTTTCAGTATAGTACTCATAACTCACACAAGCCCCTAGCTCTGCTTGGGAAATTTAAAATCTACTTATCCCTAAATGAACTTCTCAATCATGATTTCAGCCCCTTCGAAACAGCAGCAAGGGATAAGTTTGAAATCCAACACTGCTAACATTTTCTAGGACCACCGACGCCAAGATGATAAAGGAGTTCAGTAATGCTACGCTCATTCATTAACATGTCTGGAAAGCCACGTAACGAGGAACAAATCTAACGTAACAGGAGCACTAACCAGCGACTGTCGGAACAGGAGACACTTCTTTGGGTCAACACCGCAGGCAAGGACGGCAGCAGTGGTGTCCAGTATGTTCTGGCGCAGGAGAGCTGGCTCCCTGGGCATGGTGAGAGAGTGCATGTCCATAATGCTGTAGAGCACTGAGCCGCACTCCTCCTGCAGATTCACCCAGTTCTGAATGGCTCCAAGGTAGTTACCCAGATGAGGTGTCCCGGTTGGCTGAATACCAGAGAAGATCCGATCCACGGCCGTATTCTGTTACAAAGCATTGGTAAAATTAACACATGCATTTTTTGACAGATTCTTTTATATCTTTATTAATGTCATTAATAAAGCCTCACTTATGCCTGTCTCTTGTCTCCTCCTGTCAGTGTATTAATGTATGAATTACCTCAGGATTGACTAAAAATAATTGCAGTAAGTCAGTCGAAATACTCTATCTTACTGCAGAGAGACTGACAACTAGCATAATTTTAAGCTGTCAGACTGCATAAGCAAACAAACATAGCTGTAAACAAGACCAGTGAAAACCAGACCTCAGAAGCCAAGCGGTAGATTCTTTCATCCTTTTTTGCGCCAAAGGTGTAGGTTTCTCTTTAGCACATCATCCACTCTGATACAGAAGCTTAGGATCACAGCACAGAGAAATTCAAACATTTTTGTTGAAAACATACTCAGTATCCAAGTAGATGGCAATCTTAATTCCCATAAACACTGAAGTCTTGTTTTTCTAGTTGCAAAGAACATTTTGAGAGGTTTCTGAAAGAAACCTAGTCCTTGACCCAAAGGTCAAAGAATAATGAAAGAGATTATCAAAGTCCTGAAACCCCCCATCTTGGCAGCAGTAGCTTTTCTAAAGCAGTTCTACAAAGAAATACTGCTCAAGATCACACCTGTAACGGTGGATGCATCAGTACCAGTGAAATCTCAACATCTGAAAAGAGTTCGCAGAGAAGCAGCAAAAACTGATGAAGCAGCTGAGGTTGTGAACAAAGATTAAAAAGCTTAAAACATGTATAGCTTGGCTAAGTGACAGTTACCATCTTGGAAAGTTTGTTTTCCTGCATCCCAGCCCTCCATCCAACCATTTTCTCAGAGCCCCAAGCTGTCAGCGTATGATCAATTACCTCCTCGACCTTTCCAAGGAATTCCACCATATTCAGAAAGTAACTCAGCAATGTTTTATGTGAAAATGCTTGTATGTGCCAAGTTGTAAGAGCATGCAAGACTGCTCAACTTATAAATGAGGGTCCCACCAATCTCAGCGGGGAGTCCCAGTTACAAGGCTGTACAATATAAACCCTCAGCCTCTGCCGTGCAGCAGGAACATCAGCTGCATTATGCCTCTGGCTCCATGATTTTTTTTCTTCCTGCTAAATTTTATAAGCAACATCTATAACAACGTAGAGAGAATTTATTTACTGATGCAGTCCATTTTCATTTCTGTGAATCTGTTACAAATGTATGGGGGAGAAAAAAAAATAATAAGGTCATGCAACTATGAAACCACACAAAATGGCAGCAAAGTCAGGGCCAAGTACCACTATTTTTAACTATTACAAAAAAAGGACTTCAAATTGACTTAATTTCGACTCAGACTCAAGAAAAATTAATGAGAATGTCTCCAAGTGGAATAGGACTTTTTTTTTTTTTTTAAATGATCTATGGTTCAGAAAAGCCTAGCCCATTTCCCTCAAAATTTGCTGAAAAAATCTCTCTGCTTTCAAAGTAAGCCTGTTTTTCAGATCAAGACAACGTTCTTAGTCAATGTTTAAGCGTTTGTGCTGACAGGTAAAAGCAGGTTTGGGCTAGCAACCACGCTAATTTCTCCTGCTCGCATAAATGCCTATACATTTAGGTCCAGGTGGTAACCCCCTCACCCCATCCCAAATATCTGCTTGACTTCGAGGTATATTCTTGAGTCATTTTCTAAGTGCTCTTGGAGAGCCTCCAGCACAGGAGCTGCAAGGTAGTCACAGCAATAAAAAGCACACCATTTCCTCCAACAGCAATTCTAACTTCCAGTTCTTGACTACCCACGCCTCTCCTTTCCATTACACAAAAATGGAATTATGCTACTCAATTCCTTGTTTGCCATTTGATCCCTTGTTTTCCTAGGAACCTACATCAGAGCATTCATCACCACTCGCAGAAGCCCTTCACCTCCCACCAAGCTGCTACCTGGCCCCAGGACTGCAGGCAGCTTTTTGTTAACGCCGAGAAGGGCCAGGTGCTCACCTCGAGAAGGAGGCATACAGAATCCCAACATACATAAATAAAATCAACTCTTGTAGAAACTCGGGATTCACTAGGCTTCAGAGCTGTGCGTCTGTTATTAAGGGCATAGAGCAGTGCTAGGCAATGCAACAGGTACTTCACAGGCATAGCATTTGTCTTTTGCTTCCCACGTCCCTGCTCTTCACCAAGCAAATAAGAGCTTGAGAAGATAACAAGGCTATAGACAGACGATCACTGAGATTGTTTTCTGCCCCTACAGGGACCCCAGAACAGCTGAGTGCTTGTCAGAGCACATCTCCTCATCTCCCTGTCTCCCCTCACTCGGTTCAAGTCCTGATGCTCCTTCCCACAATTACTCCTCCCCACAGTGCCTCCTGCTTTCCACTGCCCATTCATATGCCTGGTGAACCACACTCTTCTACGCAGGCTACAGCTTCTTACAGCGCTACTCTCCATTTATCTTATCAGGTAGTTTCATCCCTCCAGCGTTCCCGTATTCTTTTCTTCCTCCGCTTGTGCTTCCCCACCTCCTGCTTCCCAGAAGAGCTCTTGCATGGTATATGAAGACAGTAAGAAGGCACAGAGTTTACCCTATGGTAAGGAAGCTATTACTGCCTTGACTCCAGTGACTTTTACATAAAATATGTTTCCTACCTGCACTGTTAGGATAGCCAAGAAACTTTACGGTGTTCTAGAAATCCACTACGGATGTGCATCAAATAAAGTATGTTAGGATGACCGTGTTAAAGCATGGTACAGAAACTTGCACATCTTCCAACCGCAGCCTAGACAAAGACAGCATCACCTGAAACGCCTCCTGATGTTATTGCTTCTTGTCCCTGGGACCCTGAAGCTGGTGTTACTTCAGTGCAGAAACAGCTCTACCCCCGGGTAACTGTCTGTTACACCAGACAGCGGGAATCTCTGTGCAGTCAGCACAGATCAGCTCACATGCCCATACCCTGACCCAAAAAGAGCCGGCACCCTGAGCCTGTGGAGAACAGCTCTGCCTACAAACCTTCTCGGTCCCCAGGGCACACAGACTGCGTTCCCTTGCAGCCGCAGTCCCGGCTCCATATGCTTCCCACAACACGTTCATTATCTGCCTTTTCCCCCTCCCAGGTCACTGTAGATTAAATCACTATGAACATATCCGATGTATTGCCAAAAATTATGTCCCCTAATTTGAGAATCATACACTCAAATAGATGGTACAAATGCAATAGAGACATTGAAGTAGGTAGTTTAAGCACATTTTTTTACCAAGAAAATACAAGATGTCCATGTTTCAACATACACTACACAATCAAATTCTGTACTAAGGCCAAATATTTGAAGGGTAACAATGAGCTAATTAAAGATAGGTTTACTGTAACACTACCTAAGTTAGCATCTGGTGACACACTGCATGTTGGAAAGAAAACACCCAAGTACACTGTAAAATGGACACAGTTTCATATAAAGAGATAAAGTTCTCTGTCCATCCAGTGAAGAGTATACCTGTGCAAGCAAGCATGGCATCTTTAACGGTGCTTGTACATTCAAATGGTAAACAACTACTTATAAAAGGTTTGTTCAGTATACGGGCAATAAATATCAAGTTAAACATGAGAAACAAACAGCAGCAGTATTATACTGAATCTAAGCTCAGAAATTACTTAGCCTAAGTATGGAATTTCCAGAAACAAGTAAATGCAATAAAGAAAACTGAGCTAGGCTGGACCTGGGTAAAGCGCTAGCGAATACGTTACAAAGAACAAACTCACACAGGCTCCCAGCTGAGGGACCAGTTGACTGGGAGTCTTTCATCTTTAACTCCTTTGATTCCATTTAACAACATAAAGCACGAGATGTTACAGCAAATAGGGTGGTATGAAATATTCCATTGTGTTAGCCGAAGTCTATATTAAAAAAAGCCCACACAAAACACCCTTAAATGAATCTTGGATTTCCAGCACTAAAAATATACAGAGAACATTGCTCCTTTGGAGAGAGTTTATGTTCCCTGTTTGTTCGCTCCGTGAGAAGCAGCGGGCAGCATAGCAGCATGGCAGGGGAGTTCTGCCTGGTACCATGAAATCATGGGGCTGGAATGCACTTCAATGGAGCTGTTAGGTCAGGGGATAGGAGCCGTGTGCTCGAAAGTACTGGAGTTGGAAAAGGATAAAAACAAAAGGAGTGAAGACTTCCCAATGGGGCAGAGTGAAAGCCGCAAGACATGCAGCTCCAGCCCACAGGCACTCACTCATTCAGACATCTGTAGTAAGCACAGTGTGAGCCTGCTGTTCGTATGTTTAACTCTGTGTGGTGTGTGCACCTACACCACTAGTGCTGCATGTTAATCCTCACTCCTGTTAAAAGCGTGGTATCTGACAGATGTTTTAACATCTATTATTTGTTTTCTCTCAATAAGCCTTCTGCATGGCAATTCCAAACACCACGGCGCATTTCTCAGCAGCATTTCTAAATGAAGCTTGGCCCAAACCCCATTAAGATTCAGGTATTCTCTTACCTAACCTCCTTTTTCATGAGGAGGCGAACCACGGCTCTTCCTCACACTGAAAAACTGTCAGCATCCAAATGCTCTCAAATAATCAGGAATAAGCGTTACATTCTTGTCCCAGAGCAAGATGGATGAAGTCTGGCCCCGACACCCTGCAGTATGGCCACGTCCATTTTCAACACAAAAGGGAATACTGGAAAAGATGAGCGCTTCCCAAATCCAACGCTGCTCTCTTGGACCCAAGCAGAGCTTTTCTCATATGCCACACCTGTAGTAAGGAGGGCTACAGTCGTCAAGGCATCAATTCAGCAGTCAAAACCACGCTCATTCCCCGCTCGTGAGACAAGTGTGCCAGAACTGGGGAACAAACCAAGGCTGCTAGAGTTAAGGAAACCCTATCTGTGTGTCTCCTGAAAGACCATCGCAAAGAGCTTCATTTTTAAAGGAAAGAAGGTGTTAACAGCATGCTTGTCCAATCGACAGAATTTTTACAGAAGAATATTAGTAAAGTCAA